CACACATGAAGTGCCATGAATTCTTCTTTCTGCGCTGTTCTATATGATTTATTTGGCGTCTATTCCATGTACTAAAATTAGCGCACCATGTTTTTGGACACGGAATTCTCATAGCACTTGCAGTTGAAAAAAGTATAAACTTATTGGTTATCGACGCAAAAATTGCCAAGTGATGCGAGCAGTATTTTGGAATTTCAAAGCACGTCCTACGGTCACCTTATGCGCAAGACAAGGTAGTTCGGTTCGCAAGCAGAGCATAGGATATCGTTTTTTCACAGTCTGAATTGTGTGGTAAGGACGCTAGACTCCTTTGAGAGCCTCCTGCTCAGCCCACTGCCCAATGCATTCATTCCCAAAAGCTCTCTGAATGCTGCTGCTCCATCACTGCTAGCTCTTCAAATCGCCATAAAATCCGTACAAGGTAAACTGTGGCTGATGCTGAACTTCAGCTGATATGACCCTTATCAGTTATTGGTTTTATTTCCGGTGCTCGCTTTATCTCTTTTTTCTAGAATAGGGCGCAAAACGTCTTATCAGTTATTGTTCGCGGGCGCGAAATCGCATTAAATGGTAGTCCTTTGTATCCCTTCTTTGTGGCTGATTAGTCGTTTTCATCATCTGCTTGTGGGTTCAGAACTACAAATATTGAATCTTAGATTAGCTAGCAATATTTCTTTTCAATTGTCGTTTGAATATTGTATTTTTCAAGCAGTATGATGACAAAGAGGACACTTCATTTTGGCAACCAACTGCTGTATCACTTTAGGTCTATCTAGATTTTCTACCCATGTTTTCTAATTTCATATTTGGGACAGCCTTGGGCAAATTTACGAAGAATGAGTTTCAGGTATTGCTGATGAATCTCATTACTTCACAAGTTTTCTGGGTTGTATCGTGGGAGGATGGACAAAGGGTTAACACTCACAAGTCGCCCCTGGCTATGTATTCTGGGAACAGCTGCCTTTTTTTCTGGATTATAAGGCGTATTTCGCAGAGTCGCATGCGACGACGCGCGCGAAAAGTTACCAAATACAGCAGCATTTTTTCCTTCGTTCTTTGCACCGTTTTTCCTCTTCTTACCAAATACAGCAGCATTTTTTCCTTCCTTCTTTGCACCGTTTTTCCTCTTCATGTCCGAGATGATTTTAACCTAACCTGACCACATTCCATGAATAAGATATGAATAAGATCATTAGTTCAGATAAGAGTAAACAAAAATAATAATGCAGGTCTTAGGCAGCGAAACCCGCAGCGTTCATGACAGCAAAGGTGTGCCCTGTACCACAGAAAATACATAGGATGTATTGAATACTGTGATCTGCATATCTAGGCCCTAAATTTGAAGCTTCTTTTCGTAGCCTTCTCGTTTCTAAAGTAGCATGCGGTTCAGATGAGGTAGTGTAGAATAACTGGCACATATTCCTATGCCCTATGGGAGGGGCAGTCATTTGTCAAAAGTAAAGTTTGGCAGCCCATTTACCGTGCATGCGTACGCCAGAACGCACCTACCATTGCCGGAATAGCGCATCGAACTAAGAGGTGTTAGACAGGCGTAGTTATCGTCACATTCATATCCTAATTAAGAGCTAATCCGAAGAATCTTTATGGGCATTATCGAGGTGAAAATGCACCTTAAGTGATTCAGTTTGAAGAATAGGATAACAATTAGCCATAGAAAATATCAAAAATTCTTGAGTGACTATGAGAATATGATAAAAGACTCACGGTACCCAACCCTCCAGGTCGTTTTAGCCGCACCGTCGTCTCATAAAGCGTTCGGGATAATGCGATGTTTTTTTGTACTTGGTTACTAAAATTTTGTCATAGCTGCGCGCTTCATAAAGGACGTTGGCGGATGGTTCTCTCGGCGCGGACTTGTCATCTTTTTGTAGTTGCTTTACAGTATTTTGTAAACTAATTTTAATAGTTTCTGTGCAAAATTTGAAGAGTTGAAATGGTTCTATCAAGATTTTTTCAGGACCGCGCAAAATGATAGAAGATCTTGCCGCGTTCCAATCGGCTTTATTGCCATGGCTCGTCGTCGGTGCGATCATCGCTTTCATTCTTGCGTTTGCCATTGGTGCAAACGACACAGCCAATTCTTTCGGTACTAGTGTGGGCAGCAAGGTGACTATTCTGTAATGAACTAGTCATAGCGTTCTGTTGTCGAAGCGCTCTTTTACTCAGGTCGTCACTCTTACTCAAGCCTACATTCTTGCCAGTATTTTTGAGACACTTGGAGCATGTTTGCTGGGTAAGTTATGTTTTTTTTCATTAACAAAAATGCTCTTCTCGGCGCAATTCGGCGACTAGGGGGGGGGTGGCATTTTACACTTCCACCGGTCCAATAGTTCCGGTTAACAAGTATCTTTCTGGTAAAACCTGTGAACTCTTGTGAAGTTTAGCAAACTCGTCGAGCCTTTATGGTAAACGATATTCATGGTTTTACAAGAGTTCACAAGTGTTCTCCGCAAGCATTGACCTGTGTATTGCCCACCTCCCCGTCGCGCTGATTTGCGCCCTTTTCCTACCGTGGAATACTAAGTGAAACATAACTGTTAAGGACACAAAGTGACGGATACGATGCGTAAAGGAGTGATTGATCTGGCCGTTTACAATAACAGTGAGGTTGAACTCATGTATGGACAAATTTCCATCCTGTCTGGTACGACTTTTTTTTGAACTATTTCTGTTCCTCAATTTATTTAAAGTGTTTAGGTTGCGGTGCATGGATGTTGCTTGCCACCTTTTTCAAGCTTCCTGTGTCCACAACGCATTCCATCGTTGGTGCTACCATAGGATTCTCCATGGTGCTTAAAGGCAGTATGGGTATCCGTTGGCATAAGATCTCGCGCATCTGTAAGTTGTTTCGCTGAAGAGTTGTAGAAAAACAGGAAAAGTCTTAGTGCATCGCAGCGGGCGGATTTTTCCTGCTCAACAGTGAGTGCTGGTTAACTCATCTCTTTGCTCATATATAAATCATTGGGGTACTCCGGCGATTAGGGGGGG